ACTAACCGGCCAGGTCTGGCAATGATGGCACTGTTTATGTTCCTATTTTCCTATTTTAGTTAGAAGATCCAAATGCCATGTTGCAATACTATACTGCTATGGTAGCCAACTTACAAATGCAGGTTTGAGGATACACTTTATCCAAAACCTAGTGAGGGTTTACTCATGTTTACCACTAGGTTGCTGTAGCTCAGGAGGTAGAGCAGGTCACCTACTGATCAGAAGGTTGGTGGGTCGATCCCTGGCTCCTCCAGTCTGCATGTCAAGAGTGTGAACGTATTTAAGAAGCACTGAGTTTAGAGAAAGTGTGTGATTCGGTGAATGTGCCATGTTGTATAAAGCATTTTGAGTAAACTGGGAGAGTAGAAGCGCGCAATATAAGAATCAGTCCATTCACTGTCTGAACAAACATGCTTCTTTTACTCTATTATGTTCCGGCACATGTTGTTATTACATGGCTCGATTAAGGTACATACGCCTGGAAACCTGACACCGTGTCATTTGTATACTAACAGTGATTGGATATTTAGCTCAGGGGCGGGTGAGTGGGGTTCTCTCACTAGTGTTGTGTGAGGGGGGCATTGCCCCCTCTTGCACCAGCGTAGAGGCCTGATGTTGGTCATAGGAAGAGAGTGGGTAGGAACCAGAGAGAATAAATGACAATTATCCATCTCAGGATAAGACACACAGGTCTTAATAAAACTCTGTAGCTAACAGGCAAGCACCCAACGGGACTGTGTGCACACTACAAAAAACTGAGTCTGATCAGCATGTACTGTTCAAATGACACTACGTCCAGGAGAGGAAGGCATCCTCAGTCAGTTACCGCATTAATTTTGACGCTGTGAAAATACCATCAATACCGTCAAACACGGTCAGTGTTGGGAAGGTTACCTTTAAAATGTATTCCACTACAGATTACAGAATACATGCCCCAAAATGTATTTTGTAACGTATTCCGTTACGTTACTCAGTGAGAGTAACGTATTCTGAATACTTTGGATTACTTAATATATTATCATGCCTTTTACAACTAAATGAATGTACTATTGCTGTGTGATTTATTGCTATTATTGAAGGTTACTCGCTATACCAATAACAACTGGATTTTTAAATCTTAATATAAAATGAGTAACAGTAGGGTGGGCATTAAGTAAGGCTGAACTTTTTTGTAGCGATCTCATATAGAAAACTGTTCCCCTTGTATATAAAACAGGTCCGCAGCTCCGAACCGTAGTAAAGGGACCTCTGGCTATTACGTCCGGTTGCGTGTCAGGCCCGTAGCTGAAAACTAGCTTTACTTTGTTGTGTGGGTCAACTTTGCTAGTGAGAGACAGAGAGAGGCGTTGAAAGGCTGCTGCAATGGAGCTTATTGTTTCAGAGGAAATCACGAACACAGTGTACAGTCGAGTCTTAATAGCTTACTTCCAACTGGGCTCGTCAGGCACTCTTTTTGGCTGCGTTAGTTATTACTATTTTTACATGCTTCCATCTCCCGCTCAGTGACAACTTGTACTTTTCCACTCACTCAACACTGAACACAGTGAAGAGAAAAATGTGTTTAATTCCTAAACAGTTAATGCAACCCCCCACCCCCCCCTTGATTTAAAAGCTGAAGTTTAACCCTTTAAAGCTGGTCGGAGCGGGCACGCTCCGTTTTGCGTAACTATTTTAAAATCCTAGTAGAACTGCAACCATGTAAGCTAGCGCAATAATTTTTTTTGCATATGAAACCGGAGGAGTTGTACTTACATCTTATGCCATCAGCTTTTCCTAGGTCATGGTTTCCTTCCACATATAGCTTTGCAAAAATTGCATTAAAAGCACTTGCACTAACAAAAACATAATATTACAGAAACACGCTTTTCCGATCAGATTAGCTGTTCGTAACACTTCCTATGTTGGAATAGACATCAGAGCGAACTATTGCATGTCCGCCATGACCTGCCCGAAACCGGAAGTGATATTATTTCTGCGGAAAATGTAGTTTTTTACTTTCAGGGTCCTATAAGCCTGTACTGGTGTTTTTAAAAGTTATGTTTGAATTTATGACTTTTTGTTTCTGGGATCCTTAGAACTCATATTGCACTGGTGGAAATAGTTTATTTTGTCGCACATGCTGTTTTTTTGCAAAAAAAAATTGGTGTATTTTAAAAATAAAACTATAAAGACATACAAAATAAATTTCCTGTGGTGGGAAACTATTTTGTGCAACTTTTTTGTATTTACAGTTTTGAGGGATAAAGCTCTTAGATTTCTTATAACCTCTTATAACTAGAAATATATGTTAAAAAAAAAACAATTTTCAAGTTTTTTGTAGTATATTGTCCTTTTTTGCAATTTATGTAATTACTTTGCACTTAATGCAATACATATTATTAAAATTCGGGCTATAATGGTTGTATTGATGTATAGCAACTTGAAATGCTCCCAAAAATGGCACTATAGCATGTAAAAAATACAATATAAGCTCTGGTGGACTTGGTTCTATGGTACGTCTTAAAGGATTAAT